GGGCGCACTTCTTGCCCGGCGCTGTGGCTCTTCCCGGCGTGCCGAGTGGCTTATAAAAATTGCGTCACGGCCCGGCGGCCTGGGCTCGCCGGGCGGCTCGGTTGGGGGTCATCGCGCCGGCCTGAGGCGCTCGGGGAGATTTTCCCCAGCTCCTCGCGTGAGCGAAATTCATGCAGAAGGGGGCGGCTCGTCTTCCGAGCTTGAGTGAGCAGCCTTCGCGCAGGCCATTTTATTTGTAAGTGGCTTCATCCACCTTTTCGCCAGGACAAATGTAGTAACAAAACCAGTGAATGGCCAGGTAAAATGCCTGTGTAATCTAATTAAGGAGGTGTTTGAATTCGGGAGGCTCAAGCCCCATTGCTTAAATGAGAAGCTAGCTGTGGGTTAAGGCAAATATAAAAAATCGTATGTTAATGCATGCTGTTTTAACTGCTTGTTAAATATTTTTGTCTTCTAGTGAAAAGATCAAGAGGCCACAGTCAAGATAGACTGGGAAGGAGTACAGAAACGCAGTTTTGCATAAAGTCTGTGATAGAGAAACAATTGTATCACTTGTCTTCTGATAGTCTTTTGCAATAAAACCACTTTGTAGTGCGTGCCATCTTCTGTTATTAAATCCACACGAATAGAGAACGGTAAGTTAAAAAAAAGTATTACACAGTTGTGAATTCAAGAATTAGTATTTCATTGTTTAGAGCATGGAAGAGTTTGTGGTTGCTCTTAATAAAAGTAACGCTTGAATTAGAGGAACATCACTAGGTGGATATTTTTGTTAATAATGACTTTCTTTAACAGAAAAAAACCTGCTGCTGATAATTCTTTATAATAAGCACAGTTAGGTTTAGTAAGAAGGCATATACTTACCTTACTGATATACGCCTGTATTTAAGGGCTTGTTTGTACTTGACTGTTTTCTTGGCTTCAGAATGGTTATGCAGATGAAGTGCATAGCTATGCTGAATAATGAGAGTGTCCATGCATGGTGTTACGTTATATGGCTATCCTGTGTCAGGTTAGCCTAATCCATTTTCCAAAGTAGTGCTGTGAACTGTTGCCCTGTGTGGGCAAGCCTTTAAGGCATGGTGAACACTCTATTGTATTATGCGAATGTGGATTTGACCAGCCAGTCCATAAAACATTACATAAATTATTGCAAGGAAATGGGAATTAAAACTGCAGCAATTGGGTATCTGCATGGAAGGAGCAACACCGGCTGTAAAAAATTCAGCAGTGTGTGGAAGTAGATGCAAACTGTTTTGCAAATGAAATTTTCTGCGCTGATTTATATTGGTTGGATGACTGGGGGGGGAAAAAAAAGCTTAAAGGATATCGGAATCAACAGAGAGGTACATACCTTTGAGGAAAGTATCCACTGGTGTAGTGATAGCAGTAAAAGGTCATTTGTTGCTGCTAACTCACTGGTAGCGAGTGAAATGTGCATATGGAAGAGGCAAAAGAGAGAAGACATATCTAAGAAAAGCTGCACAGAAAGATCACATTTACCTGTACTGTGTCGTCCTCCCTCTTTCATTTTTCTTGTTCTGTAGCGCATAGGAAGTGCACAATGTAGTGTGCACAGAAGTGCAACGTAACACATTAGATCAGGCTGCCCAGGGAAGTGGTGGAGTCAATATCACTGAAGTATTCAAAAAAACATGTAGACATGGCACTTCAGGATATGGTTTGGTGGGCATGGTGGTGTTGGCTTGATGGTTGGACTTGATCTTAAAGGTCTTTTCCAACCTTGATGATTCTGTGTGATTCTACCACTGTTTGTTTTCAGCTGTATGATTTGTGGTACAAGTAAATCAACTCTTAATTTGGCTAAAAGGGAAAAAAAATGAGGGGTTATGCAAAACATATTGAAGCCTCTGTTTTTGTTGCCTTGCTTTTAACTATTTTAGAACATCTATCTTCTGAATTACTGTATTATTTTCAGAATTAAGGGTAAGGTATAGGTGATTTAAAAGCGCTCTAATTTTCTAGTGCTTTGGATAGTGGGAAAACTGTGGAGTATGACAATTTAAGAAAACAAAGGTGACTTCTGATCATAGTCCCATTGGCCATATATCCTTTTTATCTCCACTGCTTTAGCATTGCTTTAGTGACAAGTCAGAACTTGAATTTCTGAGTTCTGAATTTATAACATTAAAAACTTAAGGCGGGGTGAACATCTTTGAAAGTAATCAGACTCAAGGTTAAGATTCTTTATCTTCTTGTTCCTCCCCCACATCTTTTTCAGCTGAAGGAGTGCAACAAACTGAGCCTGGGCAGCTGTGTTCTTTGAGAAAGGCAGAAGACAGTTTGAACCATGGCAAGCCAGGTAAGATCATTTGGTCAGATATTCAGGCTTGCAGTGCCTAAATGGATTCCAGAACCATACTCAGAATTCCTAGTAAATGTAAAGCTGAAATAGCTAGCTTGCTCTGAGTTGGGTGTTCTTTTAGTTCTACAATTTCTTCTGGTAATTGGTGCCTGTCCTCTGGACACTTAAATCATACTGACTGAAGCAGGTTGGGGTCTTAACATTAAGCTTTGCAGTTTGGATTATTTGAGCATGAGTTCTTCTGAAGGACGTTGCGCATAACACTCTCTATGTAAGATATATGTAGAGGTGTTCTAGAGGAAGAACGTTAAAGCCTGCGTAAGTAAAAAATGCTGCGAAATGCCATTCTTATTTTTGGAAATCTTCGTTCTTCAGAATCTTAAGCGAGGGAGGCAACCTGTGTTAACACGGCTGTTGTTTCCCTTCTCTTTTGTGTAGTTGCCCCGCTTCCTTTTTAAACCGTGGTTTTTGGGTTTTCTTTCTTTTTATTTTTTTCTTCAAGAGGCAATTTTTATGCCTCCTTCTTCCTGCGTCTGGGTTTGAGTTTTCCCTCAGCCAAGCTAGTGCCTGGTGTGCTTTCTCCTTACGTTCCATTAATCGGCCTCCTGTCGTCGTTCCTGGCCTGGGAGTGACTCACAGCTGAGTAGTGAGGAGAGGCATCTCACATAAGAAGAATTCCTAGGTGAGGGGAGATAGGGACAGCTGAGATCCCTTCTAGGCAAGAGTGATGATCTCCCTGCCTCTTCATCACTCAGACTGTGCTGCTGCAGGGTTTTTTGAGTCCTGGAGCTCAAGTGGAACACAGTCCAGTCCTGAAGCTAGTTAACACTTAGGATTGGCCAACATCGAAGGGCTACTGCTTTTTCCCTAATTCCAAGAGGAAGCTGTCAATCCTTTAGCCAGCTTGACAAGTCAGGGGAATATGGCTGTTCATACAATCCTTTGGCTCTGTTATTTTTGCCAGGCGTTTTCCCCAGAGGCTGCTTTCCCTCATGGGAGGCGGAGGGAGAAATGGGACCCCAGGCTTCTTTCAAGGGCAAGGTGAATATGGGGAAATCACCTGTGGTGATGGGGAGTGGGAGGGAGGAATGTAAACGAGGCTAAATACTATAAAGGTGATTTTTTTTCTCCCAACAGGACTTAATGGCGAAAAAAAGAGAATGTCTCCAGGCCTACAGCTGGTGGAGAACACCACAGAAGAAACGGAAGAAAAAGAACAAAATAAAACCAGGAAGAATAGAGTTTGTCCCTAGTAGTACTAATTCAACCAGGTAAACACCCTTTGAAATGGGAAGCTCTCACCTGTTACTTGTTTAAATGGATAGTGACCAGTGAATGCCATCACTTCTAGAATCCTGAAATGGCATATTTGGTGTGTATACATGAAGTATTGCTTATGGAAATGTATGCCAATAGAATAATGAAACTCTTTGTACTTCATTTCTCCCATAATCACTGAGAAGTGGTGGCAAAATAGTCATAGCTCTTTTGAATCATGGCTGTAACTTGAGTTAGTGGGTTTTTTTGGTATTTTTGTGCCTCCTCCCATTCAGACAATAAATTTTTCTTTTTAAAACTGACTTCTAAAAGTTCCTTATAAATGCTGCTTTGTGCTTTTTTTTTTGCGAAAGCAGCAGTATGGACCCAGAGAAATTGAGAACTTTCTGCTGGAGTGATGGCATTGCAGTTCTGTACATTACGCAGCAGAGTTTTGCTGTTAACACTCTTCTCAGATTTTTGCCTCCTTATTTGTCCAGTGATAACTGCCTGCTTATATGTTAGGTACCTTAATACACAATTGGCTACCTTAGTCTCAAACTTGACAATTGTTCTATCTTTTTAAAGACCGGATTACTCTATATTTGTTGGGGAGCTTACTCCAGAAGTGGATGATTTCCAGCTCTATGATTATTTCCTAAAGAGGTACCCCTCATGTATTGACTGCAAAATAGCAACAGACCTGCTGGGATATTCCAGGTAATGCCTGTGAAAATTTGTAATGCTATCAATGTTTGCTTCTATAATTACGTATAAGAACTTGCGTCGGAACTGTTTCTGCATTTTCTTCAGAGGCAGGAAGAGAGAGATTAGCCTTTAGTATTACTTTTTTTAACAGCACAGATCCTTGTGTTTCTAAAACTTTCTGGTTAGTTTAAGCAGTTAATGTGATAACTTTCAATCTAGCTGTATGCATATCTGCATGAAAGAAATAAGATGGTGGGAGAAGGGAGAGCTGTGCACTGAAATCTGTGCCGCTGTGCTTACATACAGTGGTGTGTCCACTTAATCATCTGCAGTACCGAAGGAAAAATAATTCCCTTTTTACATCTGGGAGAAAAGTGTAAGGCCTGGCAAATCTTAGAGGGTTAGGAGACTGAACCTATTAATACTAGTAAATAAAGCCTAGCAGGAGTTCTACTGGCCAGGCAGTGAGTCAAGCAGGGATGAGTGAGTTTGTGGTTCAGACAATGCTGGCTCTAATAGACTAATTGAAGAAACTTAAGAGAAAGCAAGTATAAAAAGAATGTTAGTGCTGTACAGTGGTAGGAGCAGGTTAATACTAACTGACAGATTAACTGCTGTAAATGCAGAAATACAGACTCTTACTTACACAGATAGCAATTAAAATGTATTGTTTCACTGGCTCTCAGCAAGCTGCATCTTAATGCTATCAAAGAACAAGGTTTTTGCTTCTGGCCCAAGTTTTTAATTTGGTGAAAGCATCTTCTGTGCATGTGCACATGCCAGAGAGGTCGCTTAGGTAATGGAAGCTATAGTAGCTACTATCTTCTGGTTTTGTAGAAGACAGAAATTGAATTCATTAGCTTTGTAACTGTTATGCATACTAGAATTTGTTTTCTCCCTTTTGAAAATTGTAGAGGGTATGCCTTTGTCAGATTTGGTGAGCAAGGTGATCAGATGAGGGCACTGCAAGACTGCCAGAATGCACCAGGTCTGGGGGGAAAACGAATCCGGCTGAGCATAGGAATTTCTAAAAGGTAACAAATGAGTTGTGCATTGATACAGTAATTCTAAATAATCAGATTCTTGTAGCTCTGCCTTTGTAAAGTCTGTGGCCCTTGCTATAATGGCTGTACACATGAGTCTACAAAATCAAAAATACAGAAGCATTATGTTTTGACTCCCTGGATTCATCAACCTCTTTCAGGATTGCTGGGGGAATCCAACTATTCAGTCTAGTCAGATTGTGTAATTTGGGCTTAGCTGCTGTTCTAACAAGACTTAATTCTTAGAGTAGCAAAGCTGAATGTATTCATAAATATTTTCCGGGTTTGGGCCTGAAGAAGGTAGGAGGGACAACAAGCAGTTTTGTAGGCTAGGGAGCTTTTCTTCCAGACCTTTCCCTCTAGCTTAGGCAAGGTAGCACATCTCTAGTTTTACAGTAGACTGGCAGAGGAAGGAACTCTTAAGTGGAAAAATACAGAACGGGGGGGAGAAAGCCAAAGGATATGTTACTGGAACAGTTTGTTTACAGTACTGTTCCTTGCTTTTTCAAAAGATTGGATCAGCAGGGAATTTAAAGTTGATTGGGTTTTGAGAGTTTGTTTTTTACTCTGCCGGCTCAGTTCTCTCATTTAAGGCAATTCAAGTCTCTGAACAGTTAGAGAATTGATACCAAATTGGATAAACTTTGATCCAGGATACAGACAAAAAAAAATAGAACTTTATATAAAACCACTTCAGTATATTTATGAGGTTAGCTTGTATGTTCTGTTAAATAGTAAAAATAACAGCTTTTGTTTCTCTTTTCCCCTGGATAATTCTGCGAATGTTGCCTCTTTGCTTTAGAGTGGAAATGCTCTTGCCTGAGAGAGCATTGTCCAGAATTACTCTGACTAAATTGTTTTGAAAACAAGAAGAGGTCACAAAGAAACAGGTTTCCTTACTTCTGCTGTGCCAAAGAATGTCAACAATATTTTCAGATTTTTTTCCTGCAGAGGTTTATGTAGGAGAGAAGTTGGAAGCAGATGACTTTGAGACACTATCTAGTAATTTCTTTACTACAGTAGCAAGACAATAGAATACCTATTTATTAAATGTATGTGTAGCTTTACAGTAATGAAACTAATGTAGGTATTAAAATACACATCATTAATCTGTATCTGTTTCTGAATGGCTGAGTACCATGCTCTCCTAACATCAAAATACCCAGCCATTCGAGTAGTTTGTCACTAAGTCACTTATATGGGAAATGTGATTTCTGGGCTCCTTCAGTTTGTGTTCTTGACAAAGCCTAGATCTGACTTTTCTGTAATGAAATGGAGATGCAGAGAAAGGGGACTCTGCAAACACTGGAGGTCTGCCTGTACATGGTCAGTGAAGAAATGTCTAAGCATGGAGGATTTTTTTGGAATGTGCAGCTGGGTCATCTGAATGTATTTCCTGTAGTGCACATCTGTTTTAGTACAGGCAACACTTGTGCATTGGTTCTTGTCATTAGTGTGAAGATGTCCCTGAGAAAATATACTCAGGAGAGGGAAGGTAGTGAAAACTGGTAACCTGGCCCTTTGGTCTTAAGAACCAATGAGTTTTGTCATTTTCCTACTCATTTGGCTTCATGCTGGATCATGGCAGTGCTGATTTCACCTGACAGCTACACTTTGGTAACTGTTGAATGCTTCATGGACTAAAAACTGAGCAGGTGGAATCAGGCATGGCAAACTGGCAGGCAGTCAGGTGCTCCTCTGAAACAGATAATCTGACTTCACCCCCTTGTTTCTGGAAATAAGATTTAGTATTAACCAAACAAAAGATAGAAGGGTTAATTAAGACTGAATGCATCTTTAAAGCAGCTGTGCTTGATAAATGTCTCTGGTCTTAATAAATAAGTTCTTAGCAGAACACAAAGATTTATGAGCAGCTTGCTTATACAGATACTGGAAGTACTTAAATACAGAAAGTGTCATGGCTTGAGTTAATGAAAATAATTACTTATGTATTGGCAAAGGTGAGAGCATTTGCTTCTGTATAGACACAAGATCTTGTGCTGTGATTTAGACTGTTGCTCAGGCAACTATTTGGAAAGGTTTCCTTTTAAACTTTGAAGTGCGTAAGCTGGCAAATTGTTTAACTTCAGAACTCGGTTTACAGTTTATTGTTCTCAAGCTCATTATAACTGTATATAACTTCTCATGTTTCAGACTGAAAGCAGAATTCCAGCGGTACCAGTCGTACAACTATAATGATTATTACCAAGATTATCAGAACTACTACTCACAGTGGGGTTATGATCCTTATGCTGACTACAACTACAGTTCCTATGCTCCCTATGATAGCATGCAAGCTGTTGGAGACTGCTCTTTAGGAGATGCTGTTATGGCTCCAGCTGTTTTTGAGGTAAAGATACTACACACTTGCTTTAAAGAAAAAAACCTCACAGATAGTAGGTTGTACAAATAGTAGAAGTCAGAGCAAAAAGAAGTCCTTAGACTGAAATTATGCTTTCTGCTTAGTGTGGAGATTGGAATAGCAGGCTTCATTCAGAAGTATCTTTAAGTGCTTAAGTAGTGCTTCTGTAGAATTAGAGATTTATATGCCATTGTTTATTCATGTATGCCAGATAACAGTTCTGACAGCATAATTCTGTAGCCTGCTTCTGTTCCTGTTTTTCTTATTGTAGGATGGACTTATCTTACTTAGATCAGCCAATTTATTAGTTACAGCTTCCAGAAGTCACTTCTAATATGAACTTTACTATGGTTTTCTTAAAAAAAAACAAAACCAAAACCAAACCCTCCCCAACAAACACAAAAACTCCTGGTCTATTCTTGTAATTGTGGGAGGAGGGAGTGGTTTGGGAATACAAAATAATTTTGGATTTGTGATGCGTTCTGAAATGGATTATGAGTAAACTTACGAGATTTTTCTTTTCTTTTTTTAGGAAACTTCAGCTATGACTGAAATCAGTGATGACCTAATAACTGAAGGTATTGATGATATCATACTGATGATTCTATCACTGCAGCTTGAGTTTAGCTGTACTTGTGCCCTTTTAACAATACAAGCCAATGACTGTTGGATGAAGAATGTCTTGGAAAGTCAGCTGATGTAGTGGGATCCTCTGTGGGTTATAGTTGAGATGAGGTAGGATTTTAAAGATGATGGTATACACCATGTCAAGTAGAGTGGGACATTGTCAACAACACTTCACAGTAGGTTTCTTGTAACTTTGCTTTCATTCACCTTCCAAAATAGTCTAATAGAGAATTTGTCATATCTTTGTATTGATTTTGCTAAGCATATTCTATGTTAAACTCATTAATAGGCAAAAGCTTAATTTACCAAACCTTGAGGTAAAAGCTTGTGTTGCCGGTCCTAAAAGGAGGATTCAGTTTGTGCTTAAAGATTTGGTACAAAACTTAATGGTTTGGCCTGGAAGGTTTGCAGACAGTTCCTTGCATAGAGACATCTTGTGTTAGTGTACAGAAACTTTATCCTGTATAATGCAAATTGTAGTAGAAATGAGTTAAGTTGCTTTGGGAAGAGTTTAATGGTTAATTATCCTGAAATCTGCTCTCTATCTTGAAATAGCTATATAGTCCTAGCATTCTAATATGCAAATTCCAAAAGAAGTTGACTTGCCAGGTTTATTTAAAAATTCTAGGTGAATAAACACCTTAATAGATTTAGTAGTAAATTTACTAAGTTTGGCTAAAATACATTTTATTAGGCATTTTCCTCAGGTTTTTGTGTGCATGCCTCCCAAGATCTGACACCTGTACTTACCAGGCTTTTATTTTTCAGATCCACAACTTTACTTGGATGTTGATGAAATGAACAGACAATTTATGGAGACAAGTGAAGAACTCTATGATTCCCTCATGAATTGTCACTGGCAACCTCTGGATACGGTCACTTCTGACATCCCCCCTGCTATTTAAGTGTCTTATATAGCATGACCGTTATGACCAAGGTGCTAAAATTACATTTCTTCTACATTACTCTAGATCATAAGTTTTAAAGCACAATGATAGGTTGGGTTTTTTTGCTATGCTTTTGACAGTTTCTGTAATCTTTTTTTTTGTTCATCACTCTACTCTTGGAGCATCTTGAAATCATGTAAATATTCTAGAAATGTAAAGAGTTCAATGGGGTCTAAAGATAGACTTGCCTGTGTAAATAAAATTTTGTTTCTGCAAACCTGCCAGCAAGGGATTTTACTTACATACATGAAGCACATTCTCTTCTGGCTTCTGGAATTTAGCTGGAGGCAGTAGGGGTGTTTTACCTGTCTTTGTTTTGGTGTGGGCATCAGGACACTAGCAAAAACTAACTCTCATATTCCCGAGTTTCCTTGGCAATCTTTTACAAGTTGTTAACTTGCTTGCTTAGATTATATGTGTATTTGGGAGCCACTCCCAGGGTTTGCTATGGGAATGCTTGGGCCCACTTTCTCCTGCAGTCTGCTGGCACTAACTGTACTACTTTTGATCTGCTAGGTCAGTTAGAATTGCTTTATCAATACAGTATTTTAAACATTAAGAAGGGCAAACTTTCAGCTGCTGTAGCTGCAGACATTTCAAAGACTAAGGGTGATCCCTACTGACTATTTTTTTCCTGCCCTTCTTATTGTTAGTCTTCTCAACTGACACTTTACAGAAGAGAAACTGGTGTAGCATAATACATGTTCTTAAACCTAAAAATCCTTGGACAGAATAACTTCCTGGTTTAAAGGAGGAAAAATAACATATTGGGAACAAAAAAGCTGTCCTAGTAACAACTCTTCAACTAAGTTGCACCCTATCCTAAACAGCTCTGTAATTTGTTCAGTCTGCATGCTCAAGTGTTTTGTAGTGATGAGGTTATAAAATTTTAGTAGGATGACAGTTTTCAGTATTCAAGTCAAAGGGGATTAGGGGAGATGGCAATGAGGAAAATTCTGCTTTAAGCTAGCAACATCCGAGTGGCTTCCTCTAAACTGTTCCCATCTTGAATGGTATAAAGTAGTTTCCTGTCATAGGTTCTACTTAAGCCCATGTGTATGCAAAAGTACTTACTAAATGTACATAATGATGAAATATATTAGGCTGGAAACAGAAGAATACTATTCCAAGGAAAAAGGTAGCAGAAATTATCATGGCTAATAGCTGTGGAAGCTATTAAAGCTAGTCAAGACACTTTGGTACTGCCATGTGTGTTTTGGGGGCAGTCTAAACCATAATTGCTACAATGGCAGATAGAATACAGTTCTCTGGCTTTTTTATGACTTACTGTAATTAAAGTGGTCATAACCCATATGCTGTTACTAAGTTTAAAACAAATACTGTATTGCAGAGTAATAACTTGGTGTTGGCAGGTCAGTTCTAGCTGCTGACCGGAATCTCCCTCTTTTCACAGTTTAATTTCAGCTAGGAATATTTTCAAAGTTCTACCATGAAATGCAGGTACTCTAAAACAGAAAAGGCTTTTGGAGTACTATAGGAAGTTCATGCTTCCTGAATCTTGTGCAGATACACATGTAGGAAGAGACAAAAAGCAAAAAGTATCTAGGCGGGGGAGTGGCATCAGTTTTAGCAATTGTTTCCTGGCTTTGGGGAGTGCTAGTTGCAAGGTAGCTGGGAAACATGGGTTTCTTGGGTAAATGTTTCCCTTCTGTGAGATAGCAAGTTTTTGGAGGGTGACAGTATTAATGAGAACATGACAAAGTGGAATAAATGAAGCAAGAGCAAAGGAAAGGGAGTGGTTGTGTGCATGTATAGAATTGTTCCAGGGGACTGCAGGAGGGAGGAAACTCAATGCAGGCCCCTTGAATTTGGATGGGAGCGTTAAAGCTTCAAAACCATACAGGATTTGATGCCACTTCAGTTGTAGTGCATAGTTGTGGTGCTTGAGCTTGATAGTGCAAACTGGGCTGCTAGGTGAAGGATTTTGTATCTAGCAAGTACCATCACTATGAGCAGCAAGACAGCTTCCGGGTCTGTGCCTGGGCTATATCCTGCTTTGAAGTGGCTTGCCTAGCATCACCTAACACCGTACTGAAGTTGCAGCAAGTAACTTGTAGAAATGTTTTATTGTGTTAACAGTTTAAAATGTGATGCAAAGGATGTGTGTTGGCTCAGCAGAAATACTGTGGAGTGTCTGTGCTGATTTTTGGCATTTGGGAGGTTGATTTATGTGTGAACTATGTAATGAGTGGCCAACTTAGCTATGTTATTTGACTTCGTCTGAAGCTGTATCACCACAGTACATAGACCTCAAAAAAAGTCAGTCTGTAGCTGACTGTTTATGTTTATGATTTATGCAGATTTTACCTGTTAATGAGGTCTCTAGAGTCTGCATTAGGGGCTGTTTTCAGACACCCATATAGTGAAGTACTGCTTATGTAATGCAGTGAAAGAGGTTGTTTAATTGTCCAAACCTGAGAAATGTTGGGGGTGGATTTTCTTCCACTCAACATACAAGCAAAACAAGGTGAAGAGGAGAGCGTGTTGGTTGCAGCCCATGTGGCTCTGTTCTAAAATAGCTCCCTGACCTCTTTTTCTGTCTCCTGAGCCTTGCTAGCCTATTCATCTTCCAGTTAGGAGTGCATGCATGGGATCAAGGTGGTGTGCGCAGCGCACATTCTTCACTGTAAAGGCATACTGAATGCAAAATTTTTTCCTGTATTGGTGTGGTACACACATGAGCCCCAAATACAGGACTAAGTGGGTGCATCAGAACTGTAAGAATGCATTGCTGAGACTTTTTACTGAGTAAACTTAACAGCTGTTCTACAACTACCAGCCTGTGTTAGCTAGCTTATGCAGAGGCCTGAAAACATATCATACAGTTCTACAAAGACCTGATTGCTGTGGGAGCATTAAAAAAAGTCTTAGAAGCAACTTTCTCAACACCATGCTATTTCACTTCTTTTCAGTTGTGTTTTGTCTCTGTTTTACCCAGCTGAAATGTGTTTGCTTTTTTCTGTTTTGCAAGAATATCTAGTATTGGTTTTATAAACTCTTCATTGCACCTAGCTGCAACAGATAGTGCCTTTACGCAAAACCTGCTAATTTCTTCAAGAAGAGTAGTGTTTTTGTTTTCTATCACCTCTCTGAACAGAAAGGCTTTAGTATGATGGTTTGAGGGGCTACTAATCCTGCAGTCAGTGAACAGGGAGAAAGAAACAGGTCAAAAAGTACTTAAAAAGGTACAAAAAAGGTTAAATGGTACTTAAGCCATGAATGTTTCTTTTTGCAGGGATGCTCTTGGACCAACAGCTTCTTTCTAGCGCTACCTCAGAGTAACTTGCAGATATAACTCGCAGGGAAGATTGATCAAATGGTGATGATCCCTATCATTCTGCTGGAGATATATATATATTTGCCTTTTGTTTTGTCTCACTTTTAAATAACATTTATTTAACTTCAGTGACTCACGTCAGTAGACATTGTTTGACTACATTGACAAGTATTTCTGAGTCATGAGTGTTATTAAAGGCATGTCACCGTATGGAAATTGTTCTAAATAAGTAAAATGGAAGCAAAATAAGTAAATAAAGCAGCACTTGAATTTACAGAGCAAACATAGTGTAGCTGCCTTTGACACATACATGAAAGAGAAAATCGTGTTTACAGGTTACCCTAATACATTTAGCATGCATCAGAAAGAGGGAATCTTCTTTTAAATTTGCCCTGCTTTTATGTGTCCAGTGCAGGAGTGATTTTAGTCAATTCCCCACGCAGGTTTTGTTTTAGAAGTCGGCTATTGCCAATCAATGTCTGTTGTCAAAGGGTACAGTTTAGATCCCTTTGTACATTTTGCTCTTCCCATAATGGAAATACATCACAATACCCCTCCTTTCCTTCCCCTGAGTTGGAATTTAGCATGGTAACTGTTTCCTGGGGAAAAAAGTTACAAATCCATGCTAAACCACTATTTTTTCTTGTATTTTCATGATTATATTGGTGTAGATCTTTTTTGACAAGCATATTGTAGAAATAGAGCCTCATCCTAAAATTGGTCCACAGGTGTAACGCACCATCAGTTTAGATGAGATGAGGTGGTTCTTGCAGGTGGCTTTTAAACCCATGTGCTCAATGTCCTGGAAGGGATTACGTATCGCTGGAAGTCATCCCACCGCATGTAAAATTGTATTTACAGTGGTAGGGTAGGAGAGGAATAGACTGGGGAGTTCTGAAGGTGCAGTTCATGAGGAGAAGTACCTGTAAAGTAATGCCACTCTGCTGTTATTTCAGAAATGGTTATCTTCTTTTGATAACTGTGAGAGCAGGACTAAGAAACTGAGAAGGAGCAAGTAATGTAGGAGAGCCAGGAAGATGCCAGTGAAGTTAAAAAAAGCTGGTATGAAACAAGAAGCAAAGACCTGGCAATACAAAACTTCCCAGTAAAATTCCTTCTAAAAGCAGTTCCTTCTCTGCTGTTGCTGCTTGTTTGCGTTTCTTCAGGCTTTTGGAATCACCTTTGCTGGTTGAATTCCCGTGAACACCTCCCCTCCC